ACATCGACATAAAAACACGAAAGATCAGTTTTTTCCTTATGTCGTTAAGTTCATGCTGTTATGTTGCTAGTATGTCATTATGTCAGGATGTCCACACTGCAAACATAACAACATAACGTCTTTCTTTAGTGCCGTTATGTTTATGTCGTTATGTCGCTAGTGTGAATATCCCGAAACCTTTGTTTGGTCGGCCCTACCTCTTTCAGCTTTGCCTTGGCATCAGCTAATATGGCCTGTTTCTCCTGCAGCTGGGATGTAGCCTGCGCCAGCCTCTGTTTTTTAGGCTCTACCACTCTGTAGATCCGGCCATACACCTCCATGGCCCGCACCCACATGCACAACGACTTGGCTGCCAGTGACACGCGGCCGATGATCTCTGGCTGAAAGTCTGCCTGAGCGCAATACGTACCAATCTTCTTTAAGATTCTGTCCGTCATGTTATCTTTGTCGTAGTTGACCAGTTGTTTGATGAAGTTTTGATCACCTGTAGGAAATTGCCTTCGTATTTAAACAAATTCTCCCAACCTTACTGTAAGAAACATATGGAGTTCAGTAAAAGGAATTTGGGTGTTGATATGTAATTTTTTCTTTTAATTCGGAGACATTTGCACTAAATTTAAACTCAAATTTGCCTGAAGACAGGCTCCCGGCGAGGGCGATAAAAAAATTGGCGAGCGCGAAAAGAATTCGCTTTCGGCTCGCTTCGCTCGCCCCAGACCTCACTCAGCCAGCTCCGCTCGCCCTAGACCTCAATCGGCCAGCTCCGCTCGCCCTCGACCTCACTCGGCTCGCTCTGCTCGACCGCTCGCCGGTTTCTTTCTACGCCGTATAACCCAATCGGGAGTCTGTTCACATACTACTCTAAAATCTGAATTTAAATAAAGTTAATAGTGGAACTTACCAAGCTGTCTCTTAGCCTCAGCCCAGGTAGGCTCACCGCCTCGCAGGATCATCACCGCCTCCATGACTTTCTCAACCAGGGCTGGTGGACGACCGTACGATTTGATCTCAGTCATGTCCTTCTTGTTCAACGACTCCAAAGCCTTAGTGGCTTCAGCGAGGGCAGGCAGAGCTTCATCTAAGTCGTGTTGGGCATTCTCGGCCATGACACGACATTTATCCTCCTCTTCGGCAATCTTCTCACTTCTAGCCTGCACGATCTGCAGTTAAAAAGAAATCGATAATCGACATGTTTGTCAGCAGAACTACGCAAGTAGCTGTTGTTCACTATTCCGGGCTAAGTGGGAGGCGCGGTAGCCTTGTGGTTGGTGCGCTCGACTCCGGATCGAGCGGTCCGTGTTCGGGCCTTGGCCGGGGACATTGTGTTGTGTTCTTGGGCAAAACACTTTACTCTCACGATGCCTCTCTCAACCCAGGTGTGTAAATCTTTTAAATGGGTACCGGCGAACTTAATGCTAGGGGTAACCCTGAGATGCACTAGCATTCCACCCAGTGGGGAGTAGAAATGCTCTTAGTCGCTTTATGCTACAGAAACCGGGATAAGTTCTGACCTGATGGGCCACTTGACTCGTATACAGACTGCTATTCACTGTTACAGGTATTTATTGGAAAGGCCAAACGAACACCAGACGATAGAGAAAACCACACCATACCTTTTGCTGTTCGTCGGCATCTCTCTTCTGTTGTACAATAACCACAAGGTATTCTTCACACTGTTTCTGAAACTGCGCTACTTTAGTCTTGGCTTCTTCCAACTCGATCGACATCGACTCAACCTGACAAGGAACAGAAACATTAACCTCCAGAGTCCCTCTCGTAGCAATTTTACATTACCAAAAAATGTCACGGAATTCATCCAAGAAAACAAGCTGTATGACATTCTGTATGATCAACGTGTGACCTAAGTCTCAGTCAATAACCTGATATCAATAGCCCTCAGTCAATACCTTAGCTCTGGTGTCGTCAATTTTGTCCAAACCATTTCTGAGCTTNGGGGGGGGGGGGGGGGGGGGGGGGGGGGGGGGGGGGGGGGGGGGGGGGGGGGGGAGACTCCCACGTGAAAAGCTCGCGGATCTCGTCGTCTTGCTTCGGGTTGTAAATCACGGACTTTGGTCTCCGTTAGAGTGCTCAGGATGAAACGCCACTATTTTAAGACGTCAAGGTATCTTTCAGGGTTGCTCTGTTAAGTCTGTTTTTAAGTGATATCTTTTAGCGGTCAAATAAAGCTACACCCATGCCCAGATTGGTCTCCTTTAGGGGTTTAATCTAAATTCTCCATCGAGCACATCCGCAACCCTTTCTCATAGGAGTCCGACCCCACCCCCCCGCCCCCCTCAATCCCCGGGAGTGGTCGACACTTACGTTTTATATCCTGACACAAGCTCAAGGTAGTTGGTAGGTGTGACGTAGTTATGGCGCTTCACTTCAACCAGCATTCTCTTGCTGGTCTCCACAACAGACCTATGAACTGTGACGAAAATCTGAGCCACATTGCCTTTGGTCTGGAAGACAAAGAAAAGAGAACTGTCATTGAAGAACACACGACTTACTGAACAATTTTACCAATCTAATGTCCACATCAAGATTGATATCATTCTAGCTTCCATTTAAATGTAACCGCCACGATTTTCATTCCGAAGAATTGTTTCCATAACGGAAAGTGGGATGTTTATCCTAAGGAGCAGCTTAGAAAATGAAATCCTTACAGCGCGCTTTAGGCAATTTGACAGTGAATTGAAATTAATAGCTGACAAATTTATAGTAGACTGCTGACCCATCTGCATTCTAATTACTAAAGCTTTAGCAAGGTGCATTATACATTACCTCGTCATCGCCCAAGTCCATATTTTCCACGTACTTCTCGGCCACCTCCAAAAGAGCGTCCTGGGGCCACTCGCTAAACCAGTCAATAGTTGTACAGTTCACAAATGCTGGGTACATACGAATGCGGTTCCTAAAAGGTAAAAGAGAATAAGGGTTACTACCACTTTAATGCTGTGCAACATTTATTTGGCAGTCCAGCGACTAAGGCCCCATCCACACTAGATGGAGAGATTTGAAAACGGAGGTTTCACTTTGAAAACGCATCAAATGTTTTCCGTCTACACTTGGCCGGAGGAACTTAAAAACGCAACAATCACTAGTCATTCTGGATTTGTGTTTGAGGAAAACTCAATCAGGGAAGTCACATGATTATCGTGACGCCATCAGTTTTGAAAAGCTCCCTTTTCAAACTGTTTTCCGTCCACACTAAAACACAAAGCCGTCGGTTTCATATACCTCCGGTTTGAAGAGCGTTTTCGAAATGCTCCCTTTTCGTGACGGATTAGTGTGGACGGCAGGCCTAACTGTGGAAATAAAGCCACGTTTTCAAATTTCTCCGGCGTAGTGTGGACGGGACTGACCTAAGAGCATTTCTACTCCAAGTCCATCGCGGTTTAGTAATCCCAGCATTTAGCTTAGCAGTTTGGCGGAATTACACCACAAGAAAACGCGACTTGCAGCAAAACACCATTCACGCTAACCTACCTAAACGGATCACCCACTGGGCTCATACACAGGATGATATGAAGATTAGCTCTGACTCGCTCGATAAAGAAATTAAACATTGTCTCTGGCGTGTCAAAGATGCCTTCCTTACGAGCCTCCTCTGACAGTGTGGTGCGGACCTGTGGCAGGATAGTAGCAGGATTTCTGTTAGTTTCTGAATCCTTTTGTATTTTTCTTTATTCGTATTCAGTTATAGGGCAGCGGGGCTTGGTTTTTAAAAGCACAGTTACGCTAACTCAAGGTTGGCAAGAATTTTGATTTCAAATTTGCAACTTTTTGCTGAAGTTTTCGATTTATATTGTTTGTCCTTCAGTTTTGAGTTTGAATCATCTCAAACTACACAAAACATAAGCAGCGAAGAACATTTTTATACAAGAAAAATTAAAGCTTCGGTTAACTTTTAATCCTGGGTTAGCGTTAACCCGCTTGCGAACAACCCGCTTGCGAACAACCCGGCCCTGTGTTTAATCTTTAAGTAAATTTCTTGAGTCATGCCCAGTTTTGTGTTGGCAGGTGTACAATTGAAACTTTACGAGACATACGACATTCAAGTTATGCCAGCTAGACCGTTTTAACATCCACGTAGGATCTGCTGGCCTTTAACAACCACACCTGCGATCAAACGCCCCTTTCGCCGGTAAAAACACACACGATACAAATCCAGAGAGTACATACGAGACTCACAGGGAAAACCGTGCGATTCCTAGGGAAAACATACACATACCAGACTGTCAAGAAAAACTAACCCCTGTTTAAGGTAAAACATACAAAAGTCTAGGGGAAATGTAGGAGAAACTGATAACAATAGATGCTCAAGAGCAACGCTGTTAAAAACAAAGAGAAAAACAGGAAACGACGCCCACCTCTTCAAACTCTTCGGGTTTATACAGATTTGGTACTTCTCCACTGCTGAGAATGTTGCTGATGTCCTCAAGGAAAGACTCTTCCAAAGCTTGGGTGTCGTTAAACAGGAACACTGTGGGTTTGTTCTCCACTCCAGTCAGAAAGTACAGACGCTTCAAATCTAAAGAGAAACCAAGATCATCGCTTTAAGTCATCATGAAGTTATCATGAGGTCAATAAATTTTCTTTGTTATTTAGTTCTAATTTGACCTCTAATGGCTGTGATCTCCAAACATCGTCACAGTCATGATTTCCTTTGTTTAAACTTGATGAATTACTAATGAGTTTGAGAAGCACTTTAAAGCTCTTAGAATCAACGACAGCTTAGCTTAGCAAATACACAAACTGACAAGAGTCAAGCCTCCTGCACGATTTCTCTCATACGTACCTTCCCTGAACTCATTTTTCCTGTAGTGTTTAGTGACCTCAATCTGGAACACTTTGAAGCCGATGATATAAGCTGACAGTCGACTGAGACTCTNTTAAGTCTTGAAACGCGCAGATAGATGAATCACGGCGTTAAATATGTCACTATCAACAGAATGTGCCGCAGCATTACTATCTTTTAGATACCCTAGTCTTTATTTGATATTTCGTGAAGAACTAAAATGAAACATGTAACATTTTCTACATCAACAATTGTTTGCCCGCCTTTTTCATAAAACTTGACCGGAGAAATTTGAAAACGTAGCTTTATTTCTACGGCTAGGCTACCGTCCACTGAGGTTTTCGAAAACGCTCTTCGAACCCGAGAGGAATTTGAAAACGCCGCCTTTACGTTTTAGTGTGGACGGACAACATTTTGAAAACAGAGCTTTTCGGAAACGATTGCGTCACGATAATCATGTGATTTCCCTGCTTGTGTTTTCCTCAAACACAAATCCAAAATGACCGCCGATTTTTGCGTTTTTAAATTCCTCTGGCGTAGTGTGGATGGAAAACATTTGATGCGTTTTTTTGCGTGAAACCTCCGTTTTTAAATTCCTCCGGCGTAGCGTGGACGGAGCCTTTAAAAGCTATCCAAGAAACTAAAAGTCCTTTAAAATATGATTCAAAAGATAAAAAATAATTTGTGATTTTTGTTACCATGTTCAATGGCATCTCTGAACAGCACCAGATCCATAGCAATGACTCCTGGTTCCATGTTGTAATCCTCTAATTGATCTTCCATGTATTTCTTCAGTGTCTTGAAGTCCATCATGTCTTCATACACTGCGCCATCTTTCATGAAGTCGCCTGCAAAATGAAATCAATGTAAGTAACACTGGAAAGTGTCAATTGACGGTCACTTAACGGTGTAAAATCTACAAGCTTTAAGGGGATTCTTGAAACGCTGTTAGTAACCTGACGTTAAATTTATTGTGGACGGTTTTTGTCACATTTTAAAACAAAGAGAACATTTTTTGTTTCTTGTTCACTTTGTCTGGGAGTACTCCAGATCCTTGAGACGAAATCCAATAGGAAATCGAGCAATTTCAGATTTTAGTGAACAAAAACCTTGTACCAGAATAATTTTAAATATACTGTCCTTTTTGCATTTTTAAACAGCTAAAGATAAAAAAGTTGCCTGAAATAACACCAAAAACAATTTTCCATGGAACGCGAGATACTACATTTCAAAGCTCAGAGAAATTACGCAAACACAGGTAAAATTTCATCATCATCAGTTTCATTTCACCAGTACTTTCAAGCGTGTTATATGAAGTTCAAAATTTGTTTTGGACATTTGGCGTTGATAGAATTGATTTCTTTTGAGAACATATTTAAAACAGTCGCACAGAAGTTTGCAATACGATGTAAATAATCTCGGTATAACGTTTTTGTCCATTTGTTACTCGAACTTCTGGTGGATTCATTCTTAATATGTCACAGTTAACTGATTACTTCTATGGGTGTCCTTTCACAAACAGTAACGTACCAAAGATTGGTGGCTGCTTGTTGGGGCAGAGATTATGAAATGTGAGATCGAACATAGTGCCAAGCTTGTCACTCAACAGTGAAACGAAAGCCTCGTGATCTCCAGCATCAACCAATCGGTCAGAGAATACCCTGAAAATGGAAAAGAAATGAAACAAAAATCTTAAAATACGATCACCAAATATTACGGACAGTTCTAATTCTTTTAGTGTACTAAAAGAGGGCATCCCATTTAAGGCGAATCAACGGATAAATCTTAGAAGAAGGAGCTCAGTCAAAATATTTTGAGTTATTTTGGCCACGTACAAAATTACCTTTAGATTGAAGGAAACCTGAAAATAATAGTTCACAAAGATAGAAAAACACCAAAGAGATAATAATAAACCATAAAGGAACAAGGATGGTTAAGGATGGAGAAGATTAACAAGGATTACAGACAACAAACTTGAAAAATTTAGGTTCAACTTTTCAAGATGCACAAACCGTGACGTAGTTCCTTTAACATCGCTCACCTGAAACACTCGTGAACCCAGAGTCTGGATATTGCCGTCTTTGTGTCATGGAAGTCTTTATTGGCGCGGAGTAAGCCTTGGAATACCTTAAGTTATAAGATGAATTCGAAAGAGAAGGTAGCGTTGACAAGAACCAACTAACTGGCTAATGGACAGAAAATTTTAACGGGAAAGTACAGGCTATTCTACAAGTTTTGGGAGAGTCAAATCTGGTCTTGACAGAAAACTGCAAAAAAAAAATCTTCAAGCCCAGGTATGGTCACAGAATGGCGTGTTAATATCACCACGAAAACCTGACAAAACATTTTTGCGCCTCGTGAGTCCACAACATTTTTACCACTGTGATGACGCGTATCGTTGTCGATAAGAGTACAGACCACGCTAAACCACATTCGATTTGTTCATCGAATTAAAATAGGATTAACAAATCGAACGTGGTTTAGCGTGGTCTGGCGTGGTCGGCGCAGCCGAATGAGTCCACAAAACATATTGACCACTGTGATGACGCGTATAGTTGTCGATAAGAGTACAGACCACGCTAAACCACATTTCGATTTGTTTTTTACCACAATATCAACGTCAAAGAAACCGTTTTTTCTTTTCAAAAAACGCGAGCTGAAAAAGGCATTGCGCGACACATTGACGCGAGCAGCGTGGTATGGACCCTTATCGACAACGGCAAATTAGCCAATCAGATTGCGAGATTAGCAGCAATTGTGGTAAAAAACAATATTGAACATAAACAGTCGAGCTAAGAAGAAAATGATATGACCCTGCTAGTAGTATGTAAATGTAAAACAATAAATGTAAATGTAATTTTTATTTAACCATGAAACACGAAAGAGCTCTCATGAACTTTAAAGGGGGTGCCCACCCTCAAACAATTAATACAGAGAAAGAGATTGACAGTGTCAAGAGGTGTCAATGGAAATTCACAGATTCTTCTGCCATTGATAAAGTACATACCCTGGAAATGTCTCTCAAGTTGAACAAGTAGTGTATCTTGGTTGGTGTCGGAAGCATTTTAGCGATGATGGCGTTGTAGATGTCAATGGTGGCCTGAAAGAGACACACAATAAGATAAACATAGGCACGCAATGATGAATCTGTGCATAGACTATTAATGAGTTGTCAGCTAGAAGCCGCAGTATCTCAAGTTACCTGAGTCATAAGATCACCCAGAGCCTTCACGTCTTCTTCAAAGTCCTGCAACTTTTGGTTGATCATGGTTCCAAAAATGCGCTTGATTTGACTTTCCTGCAATCAAAGATACCAAGCACAATGAAGAAGGAGAAGCGAAGAGGTGAAAATGAGAGGAGAAGGGAGGGAAAGGGTGTAAATATTACACTGTTCTGCAAGTACCTTTTAGCTCTTGTCTCGTTGGCAGCTATACAGCAGGAGTTGGTTACTTCTCGGAAGAGTATCAAAAAGCGTTTTCTCCGTATACATTATCACGGTGTTACTGAGCAAGCATGTGTTACCCACTACAATTATTACACAACTTATTTTCTGATATGACTACCGCTGTGACTCTACAGAGAGGGGAATTTACTTGCGTTGCTTACCTGAGAGAACTTTACTTGTGTTGCTTACCTGAGGGAAAGTCATGTTGATGAGGTTGAATCTGCTTTGCAGTCTCTTGGAGATCACCATCCTGCCGCCGCCTGGTGGGCCCATGGAAGCCAGTAGATGCATTCCCTGTTGAGAGTGGAACAAAAGTGCATTGATAAGACTAAGGACACGAACTAGTGACAGTAAAGAGCCAATAAAAACAACAACAAAACTAATAAATTAACAAATCAATAAAGCGGTTTACAATAGACCATCTTCGTATTCTCGGTGTTGGCCTGGAACTAGCTTGCAACTGAGGCTAATGCGGGAAGTCTTTTCAAATACAAATGACACTCATCTCTTTTTAATGATATTTCACCCACCCCACCCCCGCCACGAGCCTCCATTTCAAGCTAGTTCCAGTCCAATACCGAGAATACGAATATGGCCTTTTGAGTGTCGAAAAACCAAAACCAACCCAGTTAATTAGCAATTATATACTACTCAGCCAATATCAAATCGTAGTAAAACAGAAACCTGAACCAAAGTAATTGCCTGATTACTTTCGACACTCACTTGAAAACCGCTCTGCATCAGATTAAATAACGAATTTTGTAACATACAAAGAAATATCTATCTATCGTCTCTGTTCGCCAGAATTTGGCTCATATGGCCATAATGTCCCACCAAAGTATGATAGTCAAACACCACAAAATAGTTCTTTAACAAAAAAGAAATAATAAAAAAAAAATAATAAAATACTGTTTATATCACGCGTCCACCATGATGGAATCTTTCCTTCATAATTTACAGCCTCACCTTGATGTACTTGACAGTCTGTTTCAGTCGATCGTACCAGAAGCCATAGTCCAACCAGAGTCGAATGAGCTCCAGCGGGGGCTGGGAACCAAACGTGTCTTTTGCAGGCATGTTGAAGTCATCCATGAAGTTGATCAGCTGCTTACCGCCAATTGGTACATAAACACCTTAATAGATACAAGGTATACTGATCAGAATGCAAATCTCACTACCATCAAAACTGTAATACAAAACGTTGTCATGTTTGAAGTCAGGCCCCAGCTGTTCGAAGGCTGGATCACGCTATCCACTGGATAAATCGCTGTCCAGTGAATAGGCGTTAACTAAACAAACCACGCTATCCGCTGGATAGCGATTTATCCGGTGGATAGCGTTATCCACCTTTCGAACAACCCGGGCCTGGTCGTCAAGATGTATATTGAAATATTTGGAAAATGAGTTCACAGACCTTATACTTGACCAAAGCATTTTTGGTGTTGTTGTTGTTGTTGTAGTTGTTTTCATTAAAGGAGCTATGCCACGGTTTGCGCATCATGAAAAGTTTAGCCTACATATTTCTTTCAAGTTTGCCTTTTGGAATCCGTGTTAATCTTCGCCCTCCTAGTTCCTTTATGATTTATTATTATGTTGTTTTTATTATGTTCTTCTAGCTTAATAAACTACTATTTTTTTTGTACGTGGCCAAGATAACTCAAAATGCCGTGACTGAGCTCTTTTAAGGTCGGACGTTCACGCTAATTGTTTCCACGCATCTTTACTGCGCAGGCGAATTCACATGCCACGTCATGCATGAGCGGGCACGCTATGTAATAAAATGAACAATGATAGGGCAGATGGCCATTGCTATAGTTTTGCCTGGATTTAACAACCTTGGACGTTCGGTGGCTCCTATTTTTCTTTCCAGAAACAGATTTTATTTACAATTATCTCCACATTGTCCAAAAGTGAACAAAAAATCAATGTGAGAAGTTAAAAAAAGTTCAAGATTTCTGTCCACGGGACATCGAATCCTGCCATCTTGCGGCTGCAAGGCGCGTGAAATTATGGTCGCTAAATGCGAACTTGTTCTTTAACTAAATTTGACTAAATTCACTTAATAGGTCCACTTAAACAATATTTAGCGGAGAACATTTCACTTCAAAGTTCTATTTGTAATATTTTTGGGCTTATAGACACTGTGACCTTATTCGCTAACGACGTCCATTTTTTTCAGATTTAGGGTGTTCTTCCGGGCATGTTGGAAAATTTTCGCGCGAACGTCCTGAAGCTCACATTCTGGGGGAGCGAAGACTTACTGTCAGAACGAATTTTTCGTCTCAAATGCGGATGCGCTTTCATTTAGAAGGAAATTTTTGAGGGTGAATATTAAAATGCCATGCAGATGGCGACATGAAACACGAATGAAAGAACTTGCACATTATCCGGGAGTTGGACGCTCAGTTTTCGAGGGTTACATTGATCAGATTCTCCCAACTTGTCCTAAACGAAGTATAAGCACAGCAAAAAGGAGAAGTTGTTTGCTGACAAGAACAATTGTTGGAATTAGCTGTGAGTGGCTCAGTGAAAATATCAGAGGTGAAATAGGGGGACTGCTTGTGAACAGTGTACCTTTGGTTCGTTTCTCCACCTTGCTCTCGATGATTTCTTGAACATTATTAGATGTTGTCTGGAGAAAACAATGTAAATAAATACTAAATATTAAATACAAAATAAGAAATACTGGAGAGACGAGGTAAGATCGCAATCTTTATTTCACCACAATTGACTTTAAAGAATAGCATAGAAATAGCTGAAAGTTAGCGAAAACCCAGGGAGGAGAAAGAAAAGCAACGTGGAGTTTTAAACCTTGACGCACCTGTGCAGACATGTTGATGACCAACAGACTATACATCTTAGGGTCCAGTCTCTGCAGTACCTTCTGCGCCAAGGAGGTCTTTCCAGTGCCCACAGGACCTGTGAGAAGGACAGGTCGCTTAGCCTGAAGCAGATTGTAGACCAAGAAGTCGTACCGTACGGTGTCAACAGTTGGGACCATGATCTTGTAAAATGGCATGCTATAAGAAAGACAATTTTTAAAATTAATTATTAGAAACAACGTTATGTTTATCCAGGCAAAAGAATAACTAATGGTTGAGATACCACAAGGCAACGCTCCCACAGAGAGTTGGTTGGCTTTCAAACGTGAAAGCAATCTAGGGTTTGAGGAATGAACGCTGGTAATGGCCCATTCCGTCCATGAGACGCGCCTGCAGGGAATCATGGTATAGCTGTATTCATCAAAACAAATATTCAGTCGCAGATGACGAATACAACTACCATGATTCCCTGCAGGCGTGTCTCGCTGAGGTAATTGGCCATTTCTCACTTACTTGGGTGTGTATCGCCAACCACTCCTGAGCTTGTCTTCCCACAATGCCCAGGCCTTCTGTTTGGCATCCACATGATATTCATACACAGTATCCTGTAAAGAAACAAAATAAGCATCAGTTATCAGTTATCTGCAATAAGCGTTCCAGGTAAGTGACAGGTCTCGGGTCAATAACTAGATAGTGATGGCTGCTTGACCGAGCAAATGAAATGGGAATTTTAGGTTATTATAAGTAACTTCATCTTCCTCTAGCCGGCAGACGGCTCCAAAGTTTCGGCCCAAGGTTTCGAATGGAATGCTTCCAGTAGGTCGTAATAGAAAGACAGGGTGTGGGAAAGTCTGATCGTCTAAGGTCACGACGTATCCTGGAGACTGAGGTGTAAAAAATTCGCAGACGAATGTAGGTCGTTTGGCCCCTAGCTTGTTAGCCCTTGACCAGAAGTCGAGGGAATACAGCTGTATTCGACGAACATTTGAACAAATTTAACTTTAAAATAGAGCACGAAAAATTTTTGACATTTTTGGATTATTACCTTTGCAGGGAATTGTCCTTCGATTTCGCGAAGGAAATTGTCCATTTTCTTCCTGCTGTCTTCATCCACTGACGCACAAATGGACCAGATTAACGAAAACAAGAACCACAACTCGATCATGCGAGGGTAACTGTCTTCGTGTGGGTGCACCTGTTGCGTTTAGAAACGGTAAAAAAAAAACGATTAGTTACTTGACAATGGTCAAAATGATAGCAAGTCCAAAACGACTGTCTGATTCACAAACAAACCGAACTTATCCTGTGGAAATACGTCAGATTGGTTCATGAAACTCAACTGGAAACTTCTGTTCCATATGACATATCAAACACGAGAGATAGGCTTGCATCACATTTCCAAACACAGAGGAGAAAGAGTGCTAAGTTTCTTTCTTTACAAACCTCGGCTAGAGTTCGATTGACATTAAATAATTCCCCTAATGCAAGCATTACTAAAGAATCTCTTCGCTGGCGACAAGTGAATTCAAAGATTGTCACTAACTCCATTTTCCTCCGTTGCTAGGGCGTCAAACAACACACACAAGGACACCACAGAGTTCAGCTCTGATGTTGGAATAAGCTCTTTGCAGTGGTGACTTCGGAAATCCAAAACCTTGGGAACAAACTTCTCAAACAATCTCTGAAGGTGTTCCACGGATTGCTGTAAACAGTTATTTAACCACATACTATTAATACTGGCACTTTTAAGGCTTTCATAAGAGCACTTAATCATTAAGAACCTTCTCAGAACTTATCAAACTCATTAATGATTCATCAAGTTAAAACAAAGAAAATCACAACAGTGAAGGAGGTTTGGATACCCGGTCTTGATTAGCATAGATTTTGAAGATTTTACTTCTCCGTTTACTCCTTAGTTTTTGTTTCGATTGAGACGATATATCAAACACTCAAGACAGTGTTTCATCGGCTATCCAAACACCTCGAATTTCGTCAAAAATATTCCGCTGCGGGTCGTATTTTCAACTCTCTTCTCGGTCCGATGAAACACTGTCACGAGTTCAAAATGTTTTGAGACTCATCAATATAACACCTCCTAGTTGACGAGTTTTGTTAGTTTTCATCGTCTGCCTTCTTGTTGATAACATTTTGACATTTTAAGGAGAAATGGAACCTTAATTAACTTTTGGGAATACGGAAAATTTTCCAACCTAGCCCTCATATATTGGCCACATACCTTATCCTGTCGCTTTTCAAGCCAACAGTCCACGTAAGGCTGCCAACCGAGATCTTTGTAATCCGTGAATACCATACCACACCGACTGACTGTAGCGGGAGACGCCACGGCAAGGTCTTCCACCTCAAACAGTAACGAAACCTGAAGGAAAAAAATTCCACATAAATGCAACCCTAACGTAACAGAAAACTTCTATCTTTAAGAACGGGAAGGCTCAAAATTGTCCTAAAGTAAGAAGGAATTCTGAATCATATTATCAAATTTAGAAGCCTTTGTGCTCAAGGTCCAAAGATCGTGGAGAGTAGGCAAATCATTGATCCACGTCACGGACAGGTTAGCCTATGAGACTAATCTCGTACCCAGGTCTCACTCTGTTTGACGCTGGGAGATCTGGGATCGAGAACACCGAGATTAGAGCGACCAGCAAATTGTCAGATTAGTTTGGAGCCACCAAGACAGCAAAGCTAAGTTACCATTTCTGGTGGCTGTATACAACACGAAGATCAGTACCATTATGTAATTGTTAATGGTACAATAGCTGAGTTATAGGGCTGTATACAACTCACGAAGAGAAAATTTTACTTCTAGCTGCCGCTTCTGACTCAAAACAGTCCGTGGTTAAAGGAGCTACGTCACCGTTTCGCATCTTAAAAAGAGTAGCCTAAAATTTTTCAAGTTCGTCGTTTGTAAACCGTGTCAATCTTCTCCATCCTCACCCATCTTTGTTCCTTTATGGTATATTATTATCTCCTTAGTGTTTTTCTATCTTAGTAAACTGCTATTTTCAGGTTTCCTTCGATCTAAAGATATTTTTTTGCAAAGCCAAAATAACTGAAAATGCCGTGACTGAGTTCCTTTGCTGCACCTTTCAGTAACATTGCCGACTCTAAAATTCAAAGCTCGACCGACAAATGCGTTTTTCGCTACCGTCAATCAAATGTTCGGTGGCTCCTTCCAGCTTCCGCCTACCGCCGAGCGCTGTTTCGTTGTCTGATTTGTGCTCAACGATTTGATTACCGCGCGCCAAGCAGTAGTCGGAAGCTGGGAGGAGCCGCCGAACATTTGATTGACGGTAGCGGCGAAAAGCGCATTTGTCGGTTAAGCTTTGAATTTTGGAGTCCGCATGTTATCGAAAGACGCAGTAAAGGTCTATGATGGCCCCACCTGATCAGGCAGGTAATCCGTGTCAATCTTCTCCATCCTCAACCATCCTTGTTCCTTTATGGTTTATTATTATCTCTTTGGTGTTTTTCTATCTTAGTAAACTACTATTTTCAGGTTTCCTTCAGTCTACAGATATTTTCTTACATGGCCAAAATAACTGAAAATGCCGTGACCGAGCTCCTCACCTGATCAGGCATGGCGATACGTTCGCCATTGATGAGTGTCAACACTTTATTATCATCCATCACAGAGTTCATTGACTCAATCCACAGCGTGTCCACAGGAGCATCAAATAAAATCCACTTCTCGTCTGATCGCTCATCTAATAACACGCACATTGGAAATAACAAGGGTTGGTCAAACAGACTCAGTAAAGCAAAACAACAACATCTACTACTGTGAAGAGGAATCAAGATAGTGCAAAACCATCTGAACTCATTAGGAGACTTAAAGGTGCTCAGTCACGGTTTGCGCATATTGAAAAGTTTAGCCTCAATTTTTCAAATTCGTTGTTTATAATCCGTGTTAATCTTCTCCATTCTTAGCCATCCTTGTTCCTTTATGGTTTATCATTATGTTTTTGGTGTTTTTCTCTCTTATTAAACTACTATTTTCAGGTTTCCTACCATTTAAAGGTAATTTTGTATGTGGCCAAAATAAGTCAAAATACCGTGACTGAGGTCCTTTAAGATTTGAGTACGAAAACGACATCGAATAAAAGCACGACTTTTCCATTTTAGTTTTCTTGCTTCACATTATCACGTCTCATGCCCATACCATCCCATGAGCTAACCTCTCTACCGAAAACCAACATGAAAAGCGACGGCTCTGCAAATATCACTGATTTGAAAATGGAACGCCTTACTTGTAGTCGAATCTAAAAGTCCCTAGTATGATAAAACTCTGCGGACAGTGACAAGCATAGACGAAAACAGTATATTCGTACGCTTCACCCCGCCGCAAAAATAAGCTGACCTGGCATTATAAAACTAGCAACACTGTACTTGATATCAAAGTAATTTACCTGAGCATGTGAGTCTCATAACACTGGACAGTACTCCATCAGTCCATTCGTTNCTTCTCCATCCTCAACCATCCTTGTTCCTTTATGGTTTATTATTATCTCTTTGGTGTTTTTCTATCTTAGTAAACTACTATTTTCAGGTTTCCTTCAGTCTACAGATATTTTCTTACATGGCCAAAATAACTGAAAATGCCGTGACCGAGCTCCTCACCTGATCAGGCATGGCGATACGTTCGCCATTGATGAGTGTCAACACTTTATTATCATCCATCACAGAGTTCATTGACTCAATCCACAGCGTGTCCACAGGAGCATCAAATAAAATCCACTTCTCGTCTGATCGCTCATCTAATAACACGCACATTGGAAATAACAAGGGTTGGTCAAAGAGACTCAGTAAACCAAACAACAACATCTACTACTGTGATGGGGAATCAAGATAGTGCAAAACCATCTGAACTCATTAGGAGACTTAAAGAAGCTCAGTCACGGTTTGCGCATATTGAAAAGTTTACCCTCAATTTTTCAAATTCGTTGTTTATAATCCGTGTTAATCTTCTCCATCCTTAGCCATCCTTGTTCCTTTATGGTTTATCATTATGTTTTTGGCGTTTTTCTCTCCTATTAAAGTACTATTTTCAGGTTTCCTACCATTTAAAGGTAATTTTGTATGTGGTCAAAATAACTCAAAATACCGTGACTGACCTCCTTTAAGATTTGAGTACGAAAACGACATCGAGTAAAAGAACGACGTTTCCATTTTAGTTTTCCTGCTTCACATTATCCCGTCACATGCCCATACCATCCCATGAGCTAACCTCTCTACCTAAAACCAACATGAAAAGCGACGGCTCTGCAAATATCACTGATTTGAAAGTGGAATGTCTTACTTTTAGTCGAATCTAAGTCCCTAGAATGATAAAACTCTGCGGACAGTAACAAGCATAGGCGAAAACAGTATATTCGTACGCTTCACCCCGCTACAAAAATAAGCTGACCTGGCATTATAAAACTAGCAACACTGTGCTTGATATCAAAGTTATTTACCTGAGCATGTGAGTCTCATAACACTGGACAGCACTCCATCAGTCCACTCGTTTGTGTTGAGATCAAACTCTCCGTACAGTTCACCAAGAGACAAAGCTTTGGGATTTATGGGAAACTCCTACGTGATAAAATAAACCAAAACATTTAAACAAACCAGGACTTCTGCTTATTTATCATTCGATGCGTTTTCCTTCCTTTTCATTGGCCAACAGCCCACCACGTGACCTGCAAATATCCGCCTACAAATAACCGCGCTCTTGTGTGAAAAATGGCAGATCGCTTCCCTAAGCTGTGAGAGAGTGATTTAAATATGAAAACAAACTTGGTGATCGAATGATAAATAATTATTGAACTCGGTTATCGTAAAATATCGTGATTTGTCAAGGACGAGCAATGCAATTATTTCATAATAATAATTGATCTGCTCGCCACAGACAAATCAATCGTTGTTAATTGTTTTACAGTCCCACAAGAGCAATATAGTCACTCCCTTTGCTGATAGACACACATTTCATTTGTTAGAACTTGTTGGTATAACAAGGCAATATCCCCTTTGATGATTTTATGAATTCTCATTATCAGTTGCTTGACAGTGTATATATAGTGTAAGGAGAAATCACAACTTGATCAACTCTGCTCCCATCTTGGCTGCATGTAGTTGTCACTGTGGTTGATCATGACAAAGATTCATTTGTTTGTTCAGCCACCTTGCACGTCTGAGTTCTCGCCATTTTGATAAAATTGACTTCTTCGTTTTTTGTTCCACTTCTTAGATACTCAAACTCAAGTATTTTAATAATCTAGAGACGAAAAGTTTCTGTGACTGGAATTAAATTGCAATCACAGAAACTTTCCATCTCTGGAATGGTATATGCGTCTCTTTAGAAATAAACTGATCAACGACACTTTAAAGATTTCTTACAAAGGCGGCGTGGCCGAGTAGATTAGGCGCCGGATTTGAAATCCGGAAGCCGCGGGTTCAAGTTCCGCTCTGACCACTAAGCTTGAGTTGTCTCTCGGTAGACGCTAGTTCAACTCCTCGCGGTCATGCTTGCAAATAACCAACTGGTCTGCCTCCCACCAGTTGGGATTTTTAAGCCTATTATGTTTAGTTGATACATTTGTTTCTTTAAGATTAAGTGGCATACCTGTGAACTAGCTAGTTGTAGCTCAGCACATTCACCACTATAAACATTCAACATTCAACATTTTTTTTGACTTACCCTAACAATGTTGTAGCTTGAATCTCCATCTCTCTTCATCCGTGTCATGGACGCCTGCAGAATTTTCCAGCATACACTTTTCCCAGAGCCTGTCTGACCCACCAACATGGTCGAGTGTCTATAAAAAAAGGTATTGACGACTTGAGTGTTCATAGTACATGATAAGAACCCAGGAGCATCAGTAGTTCGTCCTATGTACTAGTCCCTGTGGGAGGCGCGGTGGCCTCATGGTTAGTGCGCTCGACTCCGTATCGAGTGGTCCGGGTTCGAGCCCTGGCCGGGGACATTGTGTTGTGTTCTTGGGCAAGACACTTTACTCTCACAGTGTCTCTCTCCCTCCAGGTGTATAAATGGGTACCGGCGAACTTAATGCTGGGGGTAACCCTGCGATGGACTAGCATCCCATCCAGGGAGGAGTAGAAATACTCCTTGTCGCCTCACGCTACAGAAACCAGAGATGAGCACCAGCCTGATGGGTCACTTGGCTTACCTTTACTTGCTCTGGTTGGGATAGTTCTGAAAAGAACTGTTGTTAGTGATTGACGTTTAGCTAGATAACTTGAGCGGAAACCATCTTTAACAGTTCTTTTCAGAACTACCCCCTCACAGACGAACAGACAAGACGAACTATCGAGTGTACATGCTTTAAAATCTTAGTGTTTTAATAATTTATTGGCAGTGTAGTTTTAGCTGTGAAGGTTCTTTATAACGTATGTACCTTGAGTTCTTGGTCTCGTACAACTGGATCACTTTCAGTATGGTGGACGGGTGTGGTTTGAGGCTGGCTTCCTTGATGTCTTTTTCAATAGCAGTGCGAAGCTAAAATGAAAAATAGAAACAAAAAAAAATATTACTGATTCAACGGTTTTTTTTTTTTTTCGAAAACCAAACTTAGAGGTGAGTTTTACGTTGACCGTGGTCAGGAGGACAAAGAGGACTACGATTGATACGAATGACCTGTTTAACTGGTTTCGAACAGGACAAATATCGATGTGTCACTATTTCAGACTTAAAAGAATTTTCAATCTGTCATATTTTCTGCATAGATGTAACGCATTCCCCGTTTTCATTTGTCATTTCCACTGGAAAAGGAAAATCCTGCTATGCGCTTCCTTGAGTTTTTTCCAGCAAAAAAGAAGGCTTAGAGGGTTCGTGGTTGCTCAAAACCTATGATTATGCTGACCAGCCTGACGCACTGCTAGGTTAGCATGTAACTGTGTAGTAACATAAAAAGTGAGGTTGTCACCTAAAGAGCGGTTTTCAATTGAATGTTGTAAAAACAAAACCAAAGTAATCACTCTGGCCAATCACAAAGGACACAGACAACCCAGTGAACCAATCAAAACTCGAAGTAATTACATGTAGTTGACGCGAAGCGCGGGAAAACGCGTGCGAGTGAGTTACAATTGGTTTTGGTTTTACTTCTGATTAGATGAAAAGTGGCGCGAGTTTTTTGAGCCAATCGTGTAGCGTAGTAATGCAAAACCGATCACTTTTCGACACTCAAATGAAAACGGCTATAAACGACTGGTTGAACGCACCTTGCCATAGTCAATAGTGGGCGTCTCAACTCCAGGAAACAAATCAGACACAATGCCATTAAACAGAGGAAGATCCTGTGAAGTCAACTTGGCAATGTTCATGTCCTTCATGGACAAGAGCAGAATCTAACNCGGCCGTTACATGGGATAACAAACTTGCAGGTAGGTCATTGAGAAGTCAGAGGGATTGCAATTGATGTTTACATGACAAGGTAGTAAATCTGATAACATCATTACTATTAGCTTGTTAACAGCAATCGGTTTCTGCATAGTTCCAGCGTGGAGAAGGGAGAAAAAAGACCCCGACCACCGCCCCGGCCCCGAGTTGACCTGTTTCGTTTCGTTTCGTTTCGTTTCGTGTTGTATCGTATTGTATTAAATCCTGTCTTGTTTGAGACATACCTTTGTGTTATTAAATCCCTCAGCAAACAAGATAATTTCTGCAATCATGGCCGAGTCTGGTACAACCATAGAAATAGGTCTGAACATGCTCTTCAAATTGTCTGGCAATTCAGTACGACCGGCATATCCTACACAGAGAAAAAGGTAACTTAAATTCATTCCTTCTGACTGCAATAGGCCATTTCTGGGTTGCCTTAAGCCTCTCTATCAAAGCGAGGCCTGGCGCACAACCATTCATATGAAGATGAGTTTAATTTGCATGTGAATGAAATCTCTTTTTCACATGAAAGGATGGGCACCAAGACTCGCTTTGAGAAAGAGGCAAAAGGTAATTCAGAAATGCCCTATTGACTGCATTGACATCGGAAACATAAATCTAAAGAAGCAAAACAAACGATGAAGAGAAAAATAACGAAATAGTGGAGTCATAAGAGAAGAAAGGTGTTGGTGAAGGAAGAAATGAAGACTATGTGTGAGAAAAGAAGCAGGCGCGGGGACAGGTCAAAGTCAGCAAAGCACTCGATCTAATAACAATAATAATCGATAGATTCTTGTTCTATTTCAATCAAAGACCAGAAGTGAATGCAAGGTAAAGTTCTATGAGTATTGACAATCTCATCGCTCAAAAACGCAAATTCAATCAAATCTGACTGTAAGAAAAGAAGCCATGTACATCAGTCACCGGAACAGCACAAATAATGTCTTATTATCCATGTATTGATTTAAAGTCATATCTTACCAGGGTTCATGGTGATAAAGATACCACATGACCAGACCAGGTTGATCTCTCGTCCTTCAAACACAAATCGTGTAGCACCGGCCGACAGCGCAGACAGGATGGACAGAATCTGCTGTGCCACTACAGACAACACTTCAATGTTGATACGGTTGAACTCGTCAAAGCAGCCCCATGCTCCAGTCTACAAAAACAGACAACGTGGAGAATNTTCTCCGGCATAGTGTGGACGGGGCTTTAACTCTCAAAAATCCGCTTCAAACTCAGCGAAGCGTACCACCAGGCAGTATACTAAGGTTGGCATCACTCAGATTTTTTCTGAGTTTATCGATGAATATATTTCTGTTGCAATGTAACAATCCTGCTCTTATAATACCGTACTATAGGGGAATATTCCGTAAAATGGAATTCAACAGAAAGTCGAGTAACACAGCCGTTTTACGACGAATTTCACTCTTTTAGCCATAAGGAAATAAATGAGGAATGACGCGTAAAAATCCACAGTTGCCCTATACATATTTTCGATTGAATTGCTTCCTTGTTAAACGGCAATTCCCTAACTCCTTACTCAGCCTTTGACTCTATATAATTACGAGACCACGAGGCGTTAAAGAAGTTTACATATTCGCCCTCCTACTCGTAATACGATGTTGCGTAAGTGCAATGAAGTGTACCTGTGCCAAGCCACTGTACATGCGCCCCATAGACTTGTAGTCAAGACCTTCAGAACAGTTCACCACGATGACGTAATTTCCCAGAGCTTTCCCAAGATCCTTGACGGTCTCAGTCTTGCCTGTTCCAGCAGGTCCCTTAGGACTACCCCCACGGTGAAGATGAAGAGCTGTTGTCAGAGTCATGTAACATCTGTATATAAGACAGATATAAATCACATTATAACGGGTTACAGCTCATTTGAAAAAAAACATAAATAACATAAGAAATCAATGTGGCCTGCGGTGCGAACGTTCATTGACTTGTCACTCAATTAATGATTTGTGTGGTAAGTCAAAACGGCATGCGCAAGTGTGCATAGTTACAGTTACTCAAAACAAACCTGTCTGTGAGTGGAGTGATAACAAGTCGGCCAGAATTGCCTAGATACTCATAACCGTATTGAAACTGAGTGTTTGTTTGCCGCACCACACAATCATCAATATCCTACAACCAAAAAAACAATCGTGAATCAGAGATACAACGTAAATTGAATGTACTATACTAATTATTTGGAAGACGTTTTAATCACCGAATGGTCCTTCAAACGCAACAAGAAAAAAAAGACAAATACACAGTAGTTTTGCTCAAGGTTCACGTAGACTTCTTTATTTTTGTTATGTCACACTATAAGTTCTCTATTTTCGTTCTGTAGTAGTTCTTTTGTAAGTTGAGTTTTGCACCGTTCCTTGAGGAATTTAAAAGAGGTTTCTTTTGAGTTAGTAACCAGTAGCGTGTTTGTTCTTCGCTATTCTGGAACTCTTCATATCTGTGAAGTACATTTCCGACGTCTGTTTTACTTTTATTTTTTGGCGGTTGTAGATTTGAGCTAAGATTTGTTTCTACTTTAAAGCATTGTTTCCTTTGCCTTTGTTATTCTGTCCTTTTAGTTAGTGTATGCACTTCGACAGTTTTGCTTTCACGTTAGTTAAAAATTTTTTGCAGGAATTTCTGTAAGTCAATAATTGGTTTTGCACACACAAGACGTGAGGTATTTTAGAGCAGTTTTCAATGAGCGTCGCACATCCAAAACCAAAGTAATCACTCTAGCCAATCACAAACGATATAGACAATCCAGTGAACCAATCAAACCTCGAACGAAATACATGTAGCCAACGCGAAGCACGGAATAACGTGTACGAGCCAGTCACGATTGGTTTTGGTTTTACTTCTGATTGGATGAAAAAGTGACGCGTGTTTTTTAAGCCAATCGTGTAGCGTAGTAATGCAAACCAATTACCTTTCAACACTCAAATGAAAACCGCTCTAATAACACAAACCTTGTCCCAATACAGTCTCAGCTGACTGAGCCATTCAAAAGCTGTGACGTCACCGCANCGCGAAGCACGGAATAACGTGTACGAGCCAGTCACGATTGGTTTTGGTTCTACTTCTGATTGGATGAAAAAGTGGCGCGTGCTTTTTAAGCCAATCGTGTAGCGTAGTAATGCAAACCAATTACTTTTCAACACTCAAATGAAAACCGCTCCAATAACGCAAACCTTGTCCCAATAGAGTCTCAGCTGACTGAGCCATTCAAAAGCTGTGACGTCACCGCAGCCAGACTTGATCATCTTTTCAATCACATCCCTGGCATGCACCTCAATTGTAACAAGAGCCACGATCTTCTGTCGCTGGATCTTGGTCAGGTTACCTCGAATCATCTCCGAAAACTTGTTCAACATGGAAATCTGTAGACAAGAAGTTGTTATTGGTCAGTTGGAAAATGCTTACCATGCTTCGTGAAAGAAGTGGTATCAAGTTTCTGAACAACAAAGCGATCCAGTTACTAAGCCAACTGGGAGCTGGTCACATTGTGAGTTCGTAATATACCCGTAGATGGTGAAGAACGCAGGTGAATATATAAAGATCATGTATTTGAACTCCCAGTTGGCTTGATAGTTCAGTTGGTAGAGCACTGTACTGGTAAGCCTGGACATTTTTCAGGCTTTAATTTCACAACTGTTTAAGTTGTGTGTATAACTGAGATGGTTCAAGTGTAGGAACGCGACCGGACCCGAGAGAGCGGCGGAAATCGAGCCTAGGAAGACGACGACAGACAAAATCAAGGACACGAGATAGAACGACGCGAAAAGATAACAGTCTTACCTGTTTCTTTTTGAGACTTTTGAGAGCTTTCTTGTCGCCTCTTTCTTTAGTGCTGGCCAGTGCTTTGGTACAGTCACTCGTCCACTGCATCTGACTTGAAGTGATTGTCAACTGCAATCAATTTTAAAAACAGTTGACTATTTTAGCTTGGTTTTTCAAGTGCCTACTTCTACAACTGTGGACTGAAGATGCAGTCGTTTAATGGTTAGCGCGCTGGACTCCGGATCGACCGCTCCAGGTTCGAGCCCTGGCCGAGGACACGGTGTTGTATTCTTAAACAAGACACTTCACTCACAGTGCCTCTCTCCACCCAGGTGTATAAATGAGTAACGGCAAATTTAATGCTGAGGGGTAACTCTGCGATGGACTACCATCCCATCCAGGGGGGAGCAGAGACATTCCTAGTCGCTTAGTGCTACAAAAAACGGGTTAAGCTCCGGCCTGATGGTCCATTTGGCTCTAATAAAGACTTTTAGCACCTGCAAAACCACGTGGCGTTCAACACGTGTTACTAGGGAGTTTACGAAACCAAGACGGCGACGCCGAGGACAACGTCGATTAAAAATGATTTATATTTTACCTAGAATCTCGCGATACTCTGAAGTCATTACTTTGTTAATCACTGTGAAAACTATCGCAAAACTAAATCCGGAACACAACGATAAATTTGAAATAAAAATTTAAAAAATTAGCCGTCGTGGTTCACGTTCTCCAGAGAACGCAAAATTTGGTCATTTCACGTTGTTGTCTTACAGAGGACGGCAAAGAAATGTACCAAGAATTATAACGCACGTTCACAGCCATTGTACTGCTCATTAATTCTTTTGTTCAGTGACGTTGCCGTTGCCGTCGTGGTTTCGTTAACTCCCTACTGACTGAGACAACAATACCAATTAGCGAAATTGAAATAACTGACTGATTTTCCCTTTATGTAATAATTACCTGCCCTGCCCATTCCTTCACCCACTTGTCACGTTTACTGGTGCTCCTCTTCAGTGCGAGCCTGCACTGTTTCAGCAGTTCTTTCAGTGTCCAGCGCATGCTCCGTTCGACGTCACACAGCCACGCCTAGTGGACAGGAACACAAGAGTTAACTTTAATAATTTTAGGAAAAGGTACTGGAGAGATCTGAGCAGGTTTTCATTCACTCATCACACTAACACTTAACGCTAAAGTAAGCCGCTTTCTAGTAAGCCTGCTGCATAAGTACACGTATGGAGTTTATACACCACTCAATGTCGATAGAACCGCATTGCTGACTTCATACTACACAAGATATCTCCATATCAGCTGAAATCATTTACTGACAATTGAAAAAAGATGGCTACCTGGGATCGCCAAGTATTTGAATTTACCTATTTTGTTCAGGTTTTACCTCTCCTACTTAATAAAAGAATTCATTTTAATATCTGAAGCAGAAAGCCTGCCTGCTAAGCTAGAACATAACAAAGGATCTTTTTAGAAGTAATTATCTTATGAAAAAGAAAAGACGATCGTCACTTAAAGGTGTCTTTCACTAGCGACGGAGTGAAGGAGTCGCAGTCGGAGTTTTAAGAACGCTTACAAGTTAATGTCAATCGAAAATCGGAGTCGTAAGTGTATTCATAAGCTCGACGGAATCAGAGTCGGAAGAATCACAACTTTTCCATTTTCTACCGATTCCGCTAACGACTCCGGCGCATTTGATCCACTGAAAACCAGATTGTCGAAGTCGGAAGCAGAAGCGGAAGAGCAAACCAACCACAAGGCCCGGAATCAAGCATTGTGGTTGGTCTACTCTTCCGCTTCTGCTTCCGACTCCGAAAATGCAGTTTTCACTAGATCATAAGCGACGGAGTCATAACTGGAAATCAGTGTTCTGCTTCCGACTCCGTCGGTTTGATTCTCACTAGATCGTACTGGATCGTATGGCTCTACGCTTCTGATTACGACTCCGTCGCTAGTAAAAACCAGCCTCTAACGATTTCGAATTTCAGGCATAAGTGAATCAAACTCTACCTCAACCGGTCCTTCCAAAAGAACAGAATGCCCAAATTCCACAAATTCTCCCTCTGCCGAGTACATGCCAACTGCTTCAGTCTTCTGTGTGATTCCCATCTGTTAAAACAAGAAAGAAACAGCATTTTAAAGGTGAAAAGCGCTGAAAATGTTCACTTACCGGGACATCTATTCAACGCATGTCTTAAACTTTTTTCGTGTCGTAGACCAGTCAGTTGAGTAGCATAGGATCAAGAAACCGTTACCATTATGACGTCGCGCACGCGCAACAGTATCGAAGATCGCGCGCGCTAGGGCTAAGACTGCTCGAGCAAAAGACAAACATTTCACGCATTTTACGCGATCCGTCATAACTTGGAAAAGTGCAAATTACATACATACGTTTATTTCGCGTCCCCTTGGGGCATTTCAGTGAAATATATAACACAATAAAATTAGTTCTTTGTTACTAAACATTAAAATTCAGAAATTTAGTCCTAACTACATCTGAATGCGATCTACCGGGCAACACGCAAAGATAGTTTAGATTCACTGTCGAACATTGCCTTTTTCTGCTTGTTTTAAAGGAGTAAATGGTATACATTTCCGAAATTTGTTCTGGTGGCCTTAGTGTAGTCGTCATTTCCTGTTGCAACTTCATCTTTAGCGCGTGCGTCTGTTGAAAGCAGGGCGCTTATGTGTATATATAGCCTTTTTCCTCCCTAGTTAAAAGTGAAGGCCGTGCTTTAATAACATCTAATTTCTCTTTTCCTTTTACTAGTAAACACGATAACCTCACACAACTCAGGCGCTAGCCTAAAGTGTGGCTGTATCTTTTCCTTAAGTTATTGTAATTGTCTTCGCAAATGTGTAATAAGTGTCAAAAGTAAATAAAAACATTGTTGTTGTTGCTGTTGCTGCGATTCTACAGGCGGAAGTCGTACGTGTCCGACCGCTTGAGAGGTTTTTCTTTTGACATATTCCTTTAGTTAATACTTATTTTTTTCCAGATTTTTAAAGTAATCCGACATACAGCCTGGTTTTGCTTTAGTAGCTGATCCTACATCCACGTTTAGTTGTTTTGTCTAGTCTCCAGTGAACAGAGCGATTCTTACTAAATCTACCAGGAATTCCTGTTCATCTGAAAAAAGCCTATCCTGGGAATTCTGGGTTCAAATTACCCTCGGATCAAACTTTTTCGCTGCCTCCTGCTTTCCTTCCCCTACTCATTACGAGGTTTAGTTTCCAGTAATTCAAGTAACAAACTCACAGGAATGCCGCACATTATTTCTTTAAAAGCTAGTTGAAAAGGACCACCGTACAAAATACAATTTGAACGATTTATCACGCTGTATTGTTTATTCTCAGTGAGTATGTGTAAAAAGGGAGAAACAACATTTTGATATGATTTCCTTACCTTTGCCATCTTGAGTGACTTGATGTTGTCAAAGCACTTCTTCAAGTGGGGTTGAACCTTAAAATAGAAAAAAAATCAAGAACATATTTCATTCGGAATGTTTCAATGATGTATTGCTTTGATGCTAAATAATCAAGGGTTTCGTTCACTAATGTGAGTTTCTTTCCTGAGAGAGATCGGCAATTTACCTTCCAGGCAATGTCATTACTGACAAATTCTTTTTCGCGTGGTTGTCTACTGTAGTTTACAATTATTTCTCTTGGATTATCTAAAATTGCGTGACTACTCAACACGTTGTGACATCAGCGTGCTACTTATTACGAGTAGTCCCTCTTTTGCTCAGTCCGTCGTGCGTGACACGAAGAAAACCGCGAGGAAAAAAGAAAGGCCGTGCAATTTCTCGCAGTTTTCTTTCGCGTCACGCACGACGGACTAAGCAAAAGAGAGACCACTCGTTGTTTAGTTGCTTATTTATTGTCTCTCAAAAGAAAGTAGTGCCAGTTTTCAAAGATTTGTAGCTATTTTAAATACGTTTTCGTAGTACTTACAGCTTCAGGGTTTTTGGACTGTCCAAGAATCTCCAGAAGATCGTCATTGGAGAGAAAGTAGAAGCGAGGAAAAATCTGCCTCTTTGTCTCCAGATACATGTCAAGTGACTTCTGAATCTCTTCTAATTTCAAGTTCATGTCGTTCAGTGTATCCAGCAGTCCTAAATATCGAAGACAACCAGTCAGTCGCAAATGTTTCTCGGATAAAGAAAATTTTCCTGGAAACACTACGTTGGCTCGTTAACAAGTTCGACCAGCTTTTCTGGATGCTGCACCTTCAAACTTACAACAAGGTCTTTGTTTCGACATAAAAATGTCAGGTGGTAAGATCTTTTCCGGGTGATAAAATTAGCTATCAGTCCGCTCTTACCTGTAACTTGTTCAGTTAAGATCACGCTGATTTTGCTTAACTTGAAAATCAGACCATTAAACGTGGAATGGACTTGCATTTCCGGTAGACTAGGGGCCAAAGGTGATGACAGGCCGCTATATTAACTGCCTACCCTCCCTCGTGTCCAGGCATTTTCCTACTTTTATTTCTTGCTTAAGGGCAACTTGTAATAACTCGTAGGTACCATTTAAGTAAACTACGCATAACGAACAGACGTCCTGTTGCAAAAAATACCTGCATGATGAGTTCCTCTTAATGCATTGTTGTCCTTGTTCAGCCTCTGCATAATCACCTGTGACAAAACAATCACGGATTTGAGGATGCTGCTAGCCTACAAATATCTTTATGTAGGAAAGGACAGAACACTGTGTCATATTTGAAGTAGTCCTACCTTCCAGTTGACATTCACGTCATCAAACTCCGCTGACTCTCTGGGGAGTTGTTTACGGATGTCCTCACCGAGGAAGATGTTNATACATGTCAAGTGACTTCTGAATCTCTTCTAATTTCAAGTTCATGTCGTTGAGTGTATCCAGCAGTCCTAAATATCGAAGACAACCAGTCAGTCGCAAATGTTTCTCGGATAAAGAAAAATTTCCTGGCTTGATCGGGAGTGTAGCTACGGAAACACTACGTTGGCTCGTTAACAAGCTCGACCAGCTTTTCTGGATACTGCACCTTCAAATTTATGACCACGTCTTTGTTTCGACATAAAATTCTCAGGTGATAAGATCTTTTCCGGGTGACAAAATTAGCTATCAGTCCGCTCGCACCTGTAACTTGTTCAGTTAAGATCAGCCTGATTTTGCTTAGCTTGAAAATCAGACCATTAAACGTGGAATGGACTTGCATTCCACACATACTCGTTATAGTCGCTAGCCTAGGGGCCAAAGGTGATGAAAGGCGGCTATATTCACCTCCTACCCTCCCTCGTGTCCAGGGATTTTCCTGCTTTTGTTTCTTGCTTCTTAAGGGCAACTTGTAATAACTCGTAGGTAACATTTAAGTAAACTACACATAACGAACAGACGTTGCAAAAAATACCTGCATGATGAGTTCCTCTTAATGCATTGTTATCCTTGTTCAGCCTCTGCATGATCACCTGTTACACAACAATCACAGATTTGAGGATGCTGCCAACCTACAAACATCTTTAAGTAGGGAAGGACAGAACACTGTGTCTAATTTGAAGTAGTCCTACCTTCCAGTTGGCATTCACGTCATCAAACTCCGCTGACTCTCTGGGGAGTTGTTTACGGATGTCCTCACCGAGGAAGATGTTCTTTGGGACAAACAAGGTACACGGTGTATAAGAGATGGAGACAAATTCAACACACTTAGCATCAACTGATGTTTACTGCTTTAAAAAAAGCAATTCTCTACTGTGCCTGTGAAACACAGTTTCTCGTGTATAACATATTGATCCTCCTGTATACAAAGATTAATACCTCTAAATACATCCACTGTCGCTGGACTGTTAGTATCATTTCAGTGACTTCTAAAATGAGAGACAGCGTTCTTTCCCATTTGTCCACCTGTAAAATACAAGAAAAGATTTTGCATCATGTTAAGTCTCACTCATTTTTCCATTTAGACAACTACTGGGTAAGTCAACAAGTAACCCTTCACGACTTGTAACAACAAAAAGCAAATAAAAATTAGCAATGGCACATCTAAGGAGAGGCTATTCTTCCACTGTTTGCAGATGAAACTGGCGTTTAGAAGTGTTGATTTTTGTGAAGGAAAGAAAGCCAAAAAATTCGGAGCCGAGAAAAACCCTCGGAACAGAGACGAGGATCAACACAAACTCAACCCAGTTATGACGCCAGGGCCAAACTTCCAGCTCAGGTTGCATTGGTGAGAGCCGAGCGCTCCCTTCAGTCTACACCATCCCTGCAGCTCTGCCTTGTTTGCAGAGAATGTAATGGCACAGTGAATTCTAGACCAAGAATTTGACACCGGTTTAACACTGAGAAGAGTGGAGGTGGCGGTGGCCTCATGGTTAGTGCACTCAACTTCGGAGCGAGCGGTCTGGGTCCGAGCCCTGGCTGGGGACATTGTGCTGTGTTGTTGGGCAAGACCCTTCACTCTCACAGTGCCTCTCTGCACCGAGGTGTATAAATAAGTACCGGCGAATTTAACGCTGGGGGTAATCCTGCGATTGCCTAGCATCCCATCCAGGAGAGGGTAGAAATATTCCTAGTTGCTTCATGCTACAGAAACCGGGATAAGCTCCGGCCTGATGGGCCAACTGGCTTTTGTGCAGACTTTTAACACCACAACGTTTTGAGTCTTCTTTAGGAGTCTTACCTCTGCCTCAAAAGCCTTGACATATCGTGATGCTTTCATGGTAGATAGAGTAACTTGATTGTCTTCTAGCTGCTGGAAGACATCGTCTGTTGCCCTGCAGAACAAAATAATATATTAGGATTTTGTACCAGAGAATGATGTCGGAAAAAAATAATAAAATAACCTTTCCAGTACCCTATTCTCAACAACCACACAATTTTAATCCAATTACAATTGGATTCATTACAGGATCTTTTTGTGACAAAACCCCAGCTTCTAACAAGTTCTAAGGGAAACGAAAAATAGTTCGAGATGTTCCAGATAACCGATAATAAGTGACTGAAAAAGTATATTCAAGGGAAAATGATTTGAGTTCCTGATAGCGAGGTTCTACTGTAAAACAGCTTTTAAACAAGCCCATTAACGATTTGATGTGAATAGGGCACAAGTTACAGGGCTTGGGTACACTGAGGATAGACATGCTGTTGGAAACTGTACAAGCCCTAACATTGCTATATGAGTTAATTCATTGATAAATGACTTATTTTTTTTTATTCTTCTTGAATAATTAACACGTACTTCAGTCTGAAATGTCCACGGTCCTTGTAAGGTCCAATGTCTAGAGTAATCTGTTCCCAGCTCTCAGCAATGCCTGCGATAGCCTGACAACCAAAAGCAATCATAATTAAAACTTCCTATACAAATGCACTGCTGGATTACCATAAGCATGCTAGACTCAATATTCTACTCGTGATAAATCTGTTTCAGTTCTTAAAATAATTTGACGATTTTCGTTTCTCTTCCCAGCAAGTTTAAGTAGACCGGCATTTATTTCTTGTATCTAATTGGTATGCAATTAAATAAAACATAACTTCAGCTTGAACAAAATCTTAAATACCGTGCACCTCAACACAACATATCACAACACAGCAGAACACAGCAGAACACAACACATCAAAGCACAACACAACGCAACGCAACACAGAAAAACACAACACAGCAAAACGTCACAGCCAACAACACAACANGTTTCTCGTGTATAACATATTGATCCTCCTGTATATAAAGATTAATACCTCTAAATACATCCACTGTCGCTGGACTGTTAGTATCATTTCAGTGACTTCTAAAATGAGAGACAGCGTTCTTTCCCATTTGTCCACCTGTAAAATACAAGGAAAGATTTTGCATCATGTTACGTATCACTCGTTTTTCCATTCAGACAACTACTAGATAAGTCAACAAGTAATCCTTCACGACTTGTAACAACAAATAACAAATAAAAATTAGCAATGGCACATCTAAGGAGAGGCTATTCTTCCACTGTTTGCAGATGAAACTGGCATTTAGAAGTGTTGATTTTTGTGAAGGAACGAAAGCCAAAGGACTCGGAGCCGAGAAAAACCGTCGGAACAGAGACGAGGATCAACACAAACTCAACCCTGTTATGACGCCAGGTCCAAACTTCCAGCTCAGGTTACATTAGTGAGAGCCGAGCGCTCCTACCAGTCTACGCCATCCCTGCAGCTCTGCCATGTTTACAGAAAATGTAATGGCACAGTGAATTCTAGACCAAGAATTTGGCACGGGCTTAACACTAGGGAGCTTAAGCAGCGAAGACGACGACGACGCCGAGGACGACGCCTAGTAAAAAATTAATTTATATTTTACCGGCGAAATTGGCGATTTTCATGATCTGTTCGGTACGCCAGTGGCTCTAAAAACGCGCTCAGGTTAAATATGCAATGACAGCGTTAAATTCCAAATGGAAATACAAAAAAATAGCCGTCGTCGTCTACGTTCCTTAGACGACACAGAACTTTGCCATTTGATGATCTTGTTTTGTAGAGGACGGCAAAGAAATGTACAAAGATATATAACGCACGTGCACAGCTATTGTTTTGTTCATTAAGCCTTTTGTTTGGTGACGTTCTCGTTGCCGTCGTCGTCGTGGTTTGCTTAAGTTCCCTACTGAGAAGGGTGGAGGCGGCGGTGACCTCATGACTAGTGCACTCAACTCCAGATCAAGTGGTCCAGGTTTGAGTTCTGGCCGGGGACATTGTGTTGTGTTCTTGGGCAAGACCCTTCACTCTCACAGTGCCTCTCTCCACCGAGGTGTATAAATAAGTACCGGCGAATTTAACCCTGGGGGTAATTCTGCAATTGCCTAGCACCCCATCCAGGGGGAGCAGAAATATTCCTAGTTGCTCCATGCTACAGAAACCGGGATAAGCTCCGGCCTGATGAGCCAACTGGCTTCTATGCAGACTTTTAACACCACGACATTTTGAGTCTTCATTACGAGTCTTACCTCTGCCTCAAAAGCCTTGACATATCGTGATGCTTTCATGGTGGACAGAGTTACTTGATTGTCCTCTAGCTGCTGGAAGACATCGTCTGTTGCCCTGCAGAACAGAAAAATGCATTAGGATTTTGCACCAGAGAATGAAAAAATAAAAATAACTTGTCCAGTACCCTAATCTCAACAACCATACAATTCTAATCCAATTACAACTGGATTCATTATAGGATCTTTTTGTGACAAATCCTTCAACTTCTAACAAGTTCTAAGGGAAACGAAAAATAGTTCGAGATGTTCCAGATAGCCGATAGTAAATGACTGAAAAAGTATATTCAAGGGAAAATGATTTGAGTTCCTGATAGCGAGGTTCTACTGTTAAACAGCTTTTAATCATGCCCATTAACGATTTGATGTGAATAGGGCACAAGTTACAGGGCTAGGGTACACTGAGGATAGACATGCTGTTGGAAACTGTACAAGCCCTAACATTGCTATATGAGTTAATACACTAATAAATGAATTATTTTTTTTTCATTCTTCTTGAATAATTAACACGTACTTCAGTCTAAAATGTCCACGGTCCTTGTAAGGTCCAATGTCCAGAGTAATCTGTTCCCAGCTCTCAGCAATGCCTGCGATAGCCTGACAACCAAAAGCAATCATAATTAAAACTTCCTATACAAATGCACTGCTGGATTACCATAAGCATGCTAGACTCAATATTCTACTCGTGATAAATCTGTTTCAGTTCTTAAAATAATTTGACGATTTTCGTTTCTCTTCCCAGCAAGTTTAAGTAGACCGGCATTTATTTCTTGTATCTAATTGGTATGCAATTAAATAAAACATAACTTCAGCTTGAACAAAATCTTAAATACCGTGCACCTCAACACAACATATCACAACACAGCAGAACACAGCAGAACACAACACATCAAAGCACAACACAACGCAACGCAACACAGAAAAACACAACACAGCAAAACGTCACAGCCAACAACACAACAAAACGCAACAAAACATAACCCAATAAAACAACGGAAAACAAAATAAAACAACAAAGCAAAGCAAAGCAAGGCAAAACACAACACAACACATCACAAAGGCTCATAGCAAAAGAGCTTGACGACTATGATAGACTGGGAAGTTTAGGGAAGATCGAGAAGTGTAACACTGAAACAATCAATCTACGAAATATTTCAAACTGTGCCTTCCATCATGTAGCTCTTTAAAACAGTTTAATCCGTCTTTAACACTATTGTCTCCACGAAGCGGAGGGACCATCTAGAAGACAACCAGAGAGCCATCTGCTTAATGCAAGAGACACTGAGTACAAGAGACCTACTTGTTCTATGGACAGCTCCTTGCTTGCAGCACCAGACACTTCACTGATCTGCTCAGCAAACTGATCCAGCCCGAGCTCAATAATCTTTTCAAGAGTAAAGTCTTCGGCTGAAAGACCATAAAAGAAATCAGATTTTTTAGCCTTTTTTTTGTTTCATTTACTATCGTTCACATGTGACACAGTCAACGAGACGTAGCCGTGTTGAACTATCTCTCATACGAAGATACATGTGATCTCAGCATTACATTTTACAAAGCAGATTAGAGAACGGAAGATATTTACCATTCTGATCAAAGGGCTTTTGCACCTCAGACTTAATTTGTGCCCAGTGCCTCTCCCTCATGGCCGGGTTCTTCAAGTCTTGGATTAGAGGCATGGTGCGTTTGAACTGCTCAATGCGAGACTTGATGGAGTCACAGATCTCCCAGTTTTTGTCCTGAAATTGCAATTTTAAATCAGTTTAGAAAAGAATAAGGTAGCTATTCTGAGCTATCCGTCCCTTGAAACAGCCCGTTGTCAGCTAGCAGCAGTCAATAGTCAGCTTGTGGAAAGTACGGGGAGATTAGCAGTCTCACGGTAGCCTCGTGGTCAGGGCGCTAGACTGCAGATCGAGCGGTCAGGGGTCCAGCGCAGGCAGGGGTCATTGCATTGTGTTCTTGCAGTGCCTCTTTCCATCAGGTGTATAAATAGTTACCGCTGGTGGGTAACCCTGCGATGGACTAGCATCCCATCCAGGGGGGAATACAAATACTCCAAGTCGTTTAGTGCTTCAGAAACCGGGGTAAGTTTCGGGTTTATGGGTCACTTGGCCAGACGCGGACTGTATCTTCTAGTCATAAGAACGTGGGCGGGGACAAGAATAAACCTTTTGATATTTCCCTATCTCTCCTCTCCACCCCTCCCTCACTCTCATGCCCTTGTAGGAACTCTAAAAGTAGCGTGCCATTTACTGAACAGGTAAATTTTTACAACAATTCATCAACTTTCTCAAATTACTTGAGTCAGTTAGAGTAGTTTCAAGATGAGGGTCCAAAGTAATCAAGCAATTACTCTGGTTTTAGATTTGGTTTTACTATGGTTTGAGATTGGCTGAGTAGTCTAATTGGTAACTAAATTGATTTGGTTTTGGTTTTATGACACTCAATTGAAAACCACTCTTCTAACAAGAATGGTTTAACTCACGCACGGCAAAATTTGTGTTCAAACATTTTCTGTCTACACTGTACCTTCACTTCTCGGACCAGCTTGTTCAATCTCTTGAACAACAGTTGTGATGTAGTCTCCATGTCAGTGGTGACCAGTTCTTCAAACTTGCCGACTTTCCAGGCATCCCACAGCTCTTCCCATTCCTTGGTGATGGTCCAAACCTGTTCCAGGAATTCCAAGTCCTTCTCCAATCCCTGCAGATCCTTTGAAGGAGGCTGCTCGATCTTGAAGATGTTCAATCCTCGTCTGAGCTTTGTTTCTTGAGACTTGAGGTTTGTGACTTGCTCGTGGTAAGTTCTGACCTCCTCCAACGCCTGAGGAAAATTGAGCGCAGTAAGCACCTCACTTAATGACTATTGCAATGGATTCCTAGCCTGCGTAGCAGAGGTTTTCTTTCTATTTTCCAGTTGTGGAGATCGAGCAAGCGAGCGAGGGGTGAGCAAAAACTGGGCAGAAGTGGGGAGAGGTGATCAAAACAGGAGACGTGGGAGGGGGTGAAGATGAAAGGATCCATTTTTCTTTTGCCCCACCCCCTCTCCCAGCTCCTTATTTTTCGCATTCGCTCACAGCTTTGTTCCCTTCGCAGGCTATGGACTCCTGATCAAGAAGTTTGAAAAATTCACAATGTCCTCGTCTCTTTCCATCAGGAATAAGACTTGACCCTAATGGGCAATCGTAAACTGTTTAATTTGACAAAAACATTGAGACTGGGCATAACCCGGATGGACTAGCATCCCATCCAGGGGTAGTATCAGTGCTCCTTGTTTCTGCATTGAAAACGAAGCAAACTTCCTGGAGCATAGGCCACTATGGGCTAATTAAAGCACAGACCTCATTTCAAGGTATTTGTGGCCAGAGGTTAGTACTAAATATAATTAAAAATTCAAGGACTTTTCAAGGCCATCCCCGGGAAAAATTCCAAATTCAAGGACTCCATCCACTAGAATTCAATCCACTACAGTGTGACACCAGACGCGAGGGTCTAAGAAATAACAGCTCCAAGTCTAACTCTTTTTTTCGTTGCCATTTAGTGGAAACAGTCAAAGAATAAATTTCAAGGTTTTTCAAGCACCCAATCTACTTTCCACGGACTCTCAAGATGCTGCTTTTGACTTTCAAATTTAAATTGCCTTCGAACCCTGAATAAACCCTCAAGGAAAAAGGATAGTTAAAGTGCACCTAAACCCCAAATTTTTTTTTCGCTAAAATGAATCTAAATGTTCTTTGAAATACTTCTGCGAAAAAATTTTTGGATTCGGTTAAATCCTCGATTTTCTGTGCCCCGACGAAATCTCGAAAATAGCCCCAAAACACCGCCATTTTGTTTCACGACCGAGTTTGAGGAGAATGGGTCCAGCGGCTGTTGTGACGTCTACCCAGGAAGGTCGAATATCTCACGTCCTCTCATTTCCTTCAGGATGGTGCAATACAGATTCGAAAAGTGCGCAGAAATGCCTT